ACAGCATTCATCAGATCTCTCGGTCTAACAAATATGGTGAACTTCGAAGCCAGACTAAACGCTCAGTTATGTTCTACTATAAAAGAGCTCCTCTCGGCAACTCACATCACTGCATTCTGAAGGTATGCCCAGTCATGTACTGTAAGACCAAGTTTGTCTCTTAGACAAAGAAGCCATTCAAAACGGTCAGACAAAGGGACTACTCGACAGAAAATATTGCGAAACTCCAAGCGACGTTGGTTTCAACTGACTTTTTAGTCCTCAAGAAGGAAAATCTATCTTTGGAGTGCGACCACTTGACTGAATACATTAAATTCTGCTTCAATTTGTACTGCCCCGTTGAGACCATCTACCTACGGATGGATAGATTTTCTTCGTCGTTACTGAAGCAAGTTAGGAGAAAGAAAGAACAAGCCTATAAATGCAAAATGAGTGCGCAAGTTAAAAGACTCCCTATGGCAATCAAATCCGAGATAAAATGGTTGAACCGCCTATACATTGAGACAGTTCTGGGCTCTCACGATTGTCGCGATCTCTGGAGACTTTTGAAACACCTATGTGGCCAAAGTTCCCATAAGCGCATTGATAACGTGGATGTGCACAAACTCAACGCTGAATTTTGTTCTTCTCAACATGATATTAATGCTTTGCTCCACTTCATCAACATAGGTCAGGTAGTTATCTTTGAAAGATTTAATGTTTGCCGTGAACTCAAAACTGAAGATACATAAGGCTACTGGCTCCGATGCATTGTCACCGCTTGTTTTAAAGCACTGTGCAGACTATCTTGCGGAACCATTGACCGCAATTATCAGCTGATGTCTTATGAAGGGTACCATTCCTAACATCTGGAGACCTGCAAGGATAAAATATGTTCCAAAGAAGGACACTCAAAAGTATCGTTCAATAGCATGTACATCGGTGATGTTGAGAAAAGGTTTGCTCCTCAGATTTTTACACGTACCGATACTAATGATATATACCAGTTCGCTTACAAACATGGCAGCTCCACACTGGATGCGGCATCCTATCTTTGCATTCTGTAGCATCTACACTGGATGAAAAAAGCGGAGCAGTTCACCTCCTGTTTCTTGACTATACAGATGCTTTCGGTAGCGGTGACAGATCACTCATGCTCAACCAGTTGTCTGTAAATGAGGTTCCAACAAGTGTTTGCGGCGTGGTTAAAGACTACTTCACAAACCGCACTCAGTTCACCCAGATTAATGAAGCGAATACTATTGCATTGTTCTCTACTCGAAGTGTCTTACAAGGAGTCATCCTCTCACCCGCTCTATGATCCGTATACATTGAAAAGCTCCCCATACCATCTACCTTTATTGAATGCAAGTATGCTGACGATGTCGTATTGGGATGCCGCTGTGACACCCACTTTTCAAAATGTTCTAGATAAGCTCGTTCCGTGGCGGAGTTGTACACTATCGGGCGCGTCCCCAGGCTGCGGATCGGGGAATGCCTTCCTTGTGGAGGTAACTACGAAGAAGTCTGGTTTACCTTGCAGATGAGATGAATAAGCAGTCGCGGACGTTCAGCGACCGCGTCTCAGAGCGTGGAGAGATGTGGGTTGGTCAGCTGGTTCTCCATCCAATACCACAAGAGCTCGTACGGCGCTGTGTCAAAGCCAATGTGACCGGCTATAAGGTCACTGGCCACTCATTTCTGTAATCAGAGGTGAGTATTTAACCGAGAGCGGATGAACAACCTTGCTGGCCAGCAGCTTCTCTGTGAACTGTTATTGAACACAAAGAAGGCGAAGGAGCGACCCGGATGTCAACGGTCTGCGTTAATCGCTCCGCTGCCTTGCGGGTCAGGTCTTAAGACCAAAGGCCCGGGGTGGGGTCCCTTAAGTCAACCCCGTTCCTCGGCCTGGGCAACCGGGAAGACCTATACCCACACAACACATTAACATTCTAAACTTTCCAAATTCTTTCACTGACTGCCTGTTTTTCCCCACTTTTATTGTTGTTAACTATGTGTTGAGGCACTGCCAAATGTACATTGGTCAAGTGCTGAGTAATAATAATAATAATAATAGATGAGCTCGTGTTTTGGTCCTCATCCCAAACCCTTAGTTTGAACCCTACGAAGTGTCGTGACTTAACGTTCTCGTTTCTGAGCTGATAAGTTACAAGTTGTTTTAGACACCACTTCTCAATTGGTAGTGAGTGATCAGTTCATACCCAAATCCCCAAGTATTAAATTTTTGGAGGTCCTTTTATCCCGAAACTTATCTTGGTCTATCACGTTGCCGAAACGTTTTCTAAGGTTAGACGGTTGTCATTTTATGCTCTCCGACTCAAAGTACTTTCAGTACCCCGTGATCTGATTCTTAGATTAGCGACTGCATGCATACTGCCACATTGGCCCCGTAACCTTCCCTGGGTTACGGAAAAAGGACTTTACATTGATTTTGCGGTCTACAAAGCTTATGTACAGATGCAGCGGATTGTCTAGGGAGTCCCTTTTGAAGTTAATTGTCAAGAAGCACCTAGACGCTTGTACCAATTTTTCCTCCATCCACTACATTATGACCGATCAATAACCCTATCTATTCCCTCTACCTATTCCAAACGTAAGATTCTGTTTTCACGTACTGCATTTTAATGCAATGCTGTGCTACCGTACCAGTCCCGCTTACTTGTTGATCCAATCAAAACTATTAGTATGATGCGAAATTATTTGCTCGAGTGATAAGTGTAGACATTTTTACGCGTTTTATTTTTTATGTAACGGTACTTTCCCATACACTGCCATCCGCAGTGATAGTGTAACATACTGAAAATGCGCCTAGCCGGGTACATAAAGACTGCTTTGACTTGACTTATATCTGGCAGCTGAACTGTTCGCTGAGCTTGGCAATTTGGTTGCAAACGTTTCGTCACCAATCGAGGTGACATCATCAGTGCGCTCAGCGAACAGTTCAACTGCCGTCTGAACAACCTGAGCTACCAGTCTTCAATTCTATGACTTATTTCTATTTGAAATAGACTGGTGGAACCCTGCCGTGATCCACGCGCAGACATCGAAACATCTGACCCCATCCGTTAACACGCGGCACATTCAAGTACGTGACAAGAGCATCGGTGACTGAGGAAGTACTTTACCTGACTCTCATTCACAAAACGGACACATTTGCGGCGTCAAGACACACCCACACACACAACTGGAAGACCGGATAACTAATACGCACGTATTCATCCCCGTTCTCATGGCTAGCCGCCGTCATTGTACGAAACCGCACTGGACCTGACGTGGACTCACAGCCATCAGAGAAGCACACGCGATAACTGCCTCTTGTACGTTGCATTGATATAGGTACAGTAGTATCATTTTGTATCAGTGCCTAACCTACTGATTTTGTAATGTCGCGATTCAGGCAGCACTAATACTATATCTAGGATTAGATGAGTTAGCCACGAAATAACGCTAATTAGCTCGTGGGGCGGTGAGATCCCAAAGGGGTTGAACGCCGGTGCCACTTCGGCTTCACATGACAGTAGTCAGCTGCCTGTGACCGTATTGTGCTGTAAAGAGGAAAACACATTGGCCCCGAATGTGTGCTTGGGGCATAAATGTTTTGCCCTAGGTTTTTAGTGTCCCAAATCGTGTTAAACAAAGCAACAGATCCAGTCAACAAAGTTACCTCTGTTTCTTAGGAAAGATGGAGGAAGATCGTCAGGTCCAGAGTCACCGTTTCATTTAAGCACGGCAAGCCCATGTCGAATCTCCTCCAAAGTCGGTGTGAGCTCAACATCCCACGTCAACTCAGATAATTCAGCAAACTGCAGTGTCGCAGCAAGCCTGTTGAATTGCTCTTCAAGAAGTTCCACCCTACGGGACAGTCGACGAGGTTGAGAATGAATAAACCGTCCATTTCTCTCAGGCACTATCTGAGAAACATGTAGGACTGCTAAGGGAGGTAGACTCTTGGTAGAAATACCAACTGGTGACTCGATAGCGTAAACTTGATCACAATTCCATCGATCACCATGATCGCAATCGAGAAAGGAACTTTGAACAACGAGTGTATGCTTCTAATACTGCTATAATTCGACAATTCAGGAAAGATCGTAGGGAGCCCAATGGAATGCACATTCAGCGGTCGATCAACCTGATTAGAGGCCGATAAGAGCTATGCTAACTCAGTGAAAACAATGACCTAACAAGTGTAAAGCATCTAAAAGATTCTCGACTCCAGTCACGAACGACAAGTGCAGGGTTTGTCGATCCGGTAGTTATGGAGTCATACTGAGGAAATCGAGATCAATGGTTTCGTTAATGGCAGAAGTGTTTAACGTTAAAAAATGTAAACAAATAGGAGTTAGCTTGGAAAAGACATATCCGAGAGTCGAGTTGGTTACTTGATTCGATTGATTAACGCGTTGTCCCATGGATCAAGCGATGTTGCAGGCTGCATCGAGAACTGGATTACAAGAAGTCAGAGGAGAGAGTATGGGTAGATAACCGGCACCCTAGAAGAATATTTTGCCGCGTCCCACAAAAGAGGAACGTACAGAATAGCTTACAGGTTAAGCGAGAGGAGACGGGGCAGAGAAAAGCGGTGAGAAGACGTATTATCGGCGGTAGGTGAATGTTGCGCAGAAGCTACTAACGCGTAATCGAGAACAGGAAGTGGCGAATGGTTGCAAGGAAACGAGCAGAAGGGGAATAAATGAGTTAGTTGCCACCGAGGGAGAAAAAAGTAAGTCGTGCATTCATAACGAAATGCGACCACAGAGAATCAAACGTTCCTCTCATCGAGCAGATAAAAACGAGCTTGGTTAGCTGTTTGGTCGGATAACGTAATGTGAGAATAAGGGAGCAAAAATAACACAGCTAGATGACTAGCAGTCGAATGTGCACAATTATGCTAACCAAAAAATAAAACCCTCCATTGTAAATAAGTGGAACAGGTGTAAGACACTCGCTACTCGCAGACAAGGAGGACAAATTAATAGGAGTTTAAAGAAGAAACCAACCTTGCCAGAAGCTGAAAAATATGATGGCTTTGATAGTTGCAAACTTGAGGATAGGCTTGAATGGCCGCAGTTGATCCCTCGCGGCGAAGTAGAATAGGAGCAGACCGTAAAGAGCAAGCGTGACCGTGATGTTGTTGATTAGAAAAAGGTACAAATAACCTGAGGTGGGGCTGAGATCAGAGTAGACAATGGCTGAATGAGGGAACATCAGAGAGAATAAAGTATAACCACATGCAGCAAGTTTAAAGTAAAGTTGATACGTGACAGTGTGTAAGCCTACTAGATGAGAAGCGAGCATGCTCTTGTGCCAGGAGAATAGAATACATGAAAAGAGAGGTAAGTGATCTTAAACCTTTGTTCTGGACAAAAATCGCTGTGGTGTAAAGCAGAGAATCAACGCTCGGAGATGAAAATGAAATGCCAAACTATCGTTAACAAGGTGACAGAGCAAGTGTGGCATGTACTGTGTTTATCTGGTGCCCCCGCAGACCTAATGAGATAGCATCTCTCTGACTAATGACCAGAGACTCGGTAGATGCTGAAACAAAAACAAAGCATGCACACAGCGCACACCATTGAAAAAAATCAACAGAAAAAATCCGACAAAAGTGAATGTTTATCAGCTGCGTATGTGTCACAGAGACAGATGAAACAACTGTCCTAAGTGAGAATTACGTGTTCCACGCGACAAAAACGAACGGACAGCGACGGCACGAAAACGCCTTCAACGCGACACAGCTCATGTGCGCACTTGTATAATCTCGGAGGCAACCGATGGAAAACGCAAAACTTCGTCCGATTATGCACACGTTTCCAAGTTAAAAGATGGAACACAGAGTATTTGATCACTAACAGCTTCACTGGATGATACACCCGAAGTGCGCAATGAACGCTCATCCCGCTGACCATGTTACAACTCATGCCGGTCAGAATGCCGACCCCAGAGACCCAACAACACCAAATCTTTGTGCCTACGAAGATTTGCAAAGTTGGAAAACCTGAAAGTTAACTGCGCATCGTTCAACAGGTTTTGCTCATTCATTAATTGCATGGAAATTGTTTCTAGCAAACGGATAAAAAACGCTCGAACTGCACTGTTGATAAACTAGAGGGTATACTTTTCGCATACAAACGAGCCACAATGTAGATGACAATGAAGCGCAGTGGAGGCAATCAAAAGGACTAAAAATCGGTCGCAGTACGGAACAAGAATTCGATCCACGGTTAAATATGGGTACAGGCCTTGCTGTTTGGTGTTTGTTAAAAGTATCTAAAAGGACTTTGTGTGTGCGTGTGTGACTGCCGGACGTTGTAGGCAATTCACTGTGTTGAGAGGGTTTATTCCATGGTTTGGTGATGTGGAAAGTGCGATGCTGGACGAGGGCTCCATAATCAATTAAGGCGATGCGTTGGACGCTAACAACATGACCTCGTGACGCACAGTGGGATGGAAAATTAATCGTCCTCTGTGCAGCATTCACAACCCAGGTTGACCGCATGTCCTGAGAATCAGTATTAGCCAAGGCTTGAGATCTCCAGCTAAGTGCCCGTATGAGTTGAGATCAGCTGGCCGTGTTTTTCCCACCAGATGTAAGAGATTGCTGTATCCCTAGCGATAACGACATTGTCGACTGGTGCTCATTCTAATGATAGTAGCTGGGAAGACGTTCACAAATGCGTATGTCCACCAGAACATTGCTTTATTCTGCCCAACTGAATCTTGACACCACCCCTACATTTCATAAAAGTCCCACCTCCACAAGATTACTACATCCACTTTAGTAGAGTATTTGTTTGAAAAGGGGGGGGACTTAAAAGGCAAACAGAAAACGCTCAGCAGAGGACTTGGTGTTAAGTGCTAAGTGTTAACTAACGGACAAAACGAACTTGCCTACACAATGGAAACCTTATCACTGATGCGTCAAGGTTCCTCAAAAGGACGTGTCTGAAATCAGTAATGCAGTTTCAAGCGTTGCGCATCAAACGTTAGCTAAGCAGTTGTAAAAATATAGCATTCCTGTTCACACTGTAGGATCAAAGAGATTTTGCTGAAGATTGTAGCCGCATAATGCCACCGTGGGTTTAAAAGTAACCGCCTGTACGGCCAAAGGCGACAGCTCAGATAGACCTAAATGTAAGACGCGGGTGAATCTGCGAGACCTGACCGCAAGCGTTCTCGGTTACGAATGTAGTTCGCACTATAGAAATGTAACGCGCTCTTAAACTGATAATCTAATCAACGGTTCTCGAGATTGGTGAGCAATCACTTGAACTAATCGACAGGACCAAGTATCCGAACAATGGTTCGCCTTGACGGTCAAGCAGATAAAGGAGCTGTAGAGATCGGGACGATGAGTATGACAGTACCAGAGCTCTCATGCACCAATGAGTAAGATCATACATGCAGTGCAACAACAAGGTATGACCAGCGAAAGTGTAAGGACTATAGACACGCATCGAATACTGAAAAGAGGGAACTAGAAGATGTACGTCTGAGCCGTCCCATCCATATACCATCAGGCACGCACGCGAACTGCTAATGAAATTCGGGTGGGCGGCATGCTATTCAGCTGCGATGCAGTATCTAAATCTACAAACTGCAAAGTAGGAGTTTATGGATTTCCTGAAAGTTAGTAACGATTTCGCATTAATTTTTGTCTCAGGCATATTGCCACAGTATTTCACCACTCGACGCTCGAAGCTATACGTTTCAGGTAGGGTACTACAGACTTGTATCGGTGGTTGATAGTGCTGCTTGGTGCGCAGAGTAAGCCACACGAAGGCGTAATGTCCGGTGCGTCATTATGTGGCTCATTCGGGCTTCGTACAACACACCCTGTAAACAGTGGATCAGCCTAGTAACTAGATGCTGAACACGTTTAAGTCTCTGCACTTCGTTAAGAGTGATCGAACAATAGGCGGGTGAGCTGTAAAATTAGTCTTATAATGGAAGAGAAAAGCCGAGAAGCAACCTCATCAGACCAAGAGCAGAAACTGTGTCGGAGCGTCCAAAACATGCGCAGTCCGTTTTCATGTAGCTTGCTCGTGCTGTATATGGACCTCAAACCGCAGCGTGAGTGTATATTATTAGGCGAGTAAACGAAGCGGGTACTCACACAAGACGATACGACAATGGGCCAGGCTGACAGCTAGAACGGAATAATGGAACAATAATAATAGTATAGTACGGATAAAGAAAGCAGTTGTCTAACAAATTCCGCAGAATTGCAAGAACGAGAACCACAAAATAGTGGAAGGAAAAAAGAGTGATCAAATGACAGTCATCTTGGCAGACTCCCCAATGTTCACACAGATCCAACCTCCATTGTGTAAATTACTGCTGGTTGTGAAACGTCAGTCACATTATCTCGTCTGTTGATGTGCATAGGCTACATCTCGTAATGTTGCTTGGTTAAGGCTAACGTCAAAGCGTTTTTTTAAACGCGGATAAGGTGGGAGCGGAAACAACGCAATTTGTGAAGGCATTCCATGGATGGCACACACGAAGAGAGAATGTTTCGTCGATATTCCAACCGATTGGACTGTGTGGCCAACCTGAGGTGGTGGCCTCTGAAATTCGTGTTGTGGCAGTTGCAGTAAGTGGCGGCAGACGCGGTAGGGGTTCCACAAAATTTGGTAGGACATTATTTTGTCACCACGTAGGCGCCGATACTGACCGCTGTACAACCTTAGAGTCCTCAGCCTAAGTTGAGTTGAAAAGTGGAGCAACCCTTTTAGGAGTAAAGGTTTCGCCGAGCTTGCAGAGTAACCGTTGATGTGGAATTTTCATCGAACGCTTTGCTAAAGTGACGAAGATAACATCTGAGCCGGTCAGGTGAAATAAGAGGAAACAGTAAAATCGGAGGGCAGGAAGAGAAACGCAGCTAAATAATTATAAGATAGTGGGGAATCAAAAAAGAAAACTGGATGCTGAAGATGAGTCAGTTAGGGAGAAAGGAAAGGTCTGGCGTTGCCGCCCAAGAATATCGAGCTGACGCGCAAGACATTTAGCCGTGGGTTCTCTAACTACGTGAACTGGAAGCGGGTACCAGCGTTCTATATCAGCGCGAAAAACGAGTTTCCGCCCTAATCCGATCAGACCGCGGATTGTACAACTTCAATGGATCACTGCAGAGACTAGGTAACCTAGCTGAACTACGTAGCCAAGACAAGTCTGAGACAGTGGTCACCCACAAAATACTATAAGTAAAAATCAAGTCCTCTTTATCCTCCGGTAGTTCATTGAGTACATCCCCAGCAGTAACTTAGTACAACTCGTAACGCTCTCCAAGTCCATTTTATGTCGGATAAGACTTGGTGAACAAGCCTGGATACAATATTCCAAGTGGTGTCGTACAAATGCCGAGAATAACTCCCCAAGCATATCTGCCATCAGAAATGCTAAGCCATATCATACAGTACCCTCTACAAGCAACCTTCTTCCAATTGTTGCCAGAATGAAGGTCTCATAAGTGGACGACACCTAAATCAACCTGCTGAGTGACAACAGGGATTTCACTACCGCCGACAACATATCATGTGGGAGGACTAGCAGCACCTATTCGGAGGACAGAACAGTTGGCCCGATCGACGGGCAGACCATGCACACAGCTTAACAAATGCACTCTGAATTGCCACAGAACTCCACGATACCCCAGAGGTTAAGATCGTCAGCAAACAATAGCGATGGCATTCCAGACTCCTAAGTAAGTCATTTACATAAATCGCAAACAGCAATGGCACCAATGCCGAGCCCAGTGGAACGCAACAAAGAACAGCTTGCCTAAGGGAAGAGATAAGCCCAACGCGTACACAGTGTCCCCACACCTCCAGGAGAACAGACACCCATTTGTTGACAAGGGTACTTTCTAAGGAATGGATCTGATAACCCTAACTGGACCAAAATTAAAGCCATTTTGCAGAAATCCAGCAGAATAATCGAGTTGATGGATGAAAGAAATGTTCTCGGATAAGCCAATACTATTAACGGTAAGTAAAGAACAGAAAGGAAAAAGAAAGGTTCAAGAATGTCACCTACGGCCCTTAAATAACGGCGACTGGCACTATTGTAATTGTCTGGTATCTGGCGGCCATTACACCGGTAGATGCGACCTTGTCCACCTGATCGGCCAAATGGGGCGAACAGGTTTTAGCGAACAGAAAAGCAGAGCGATCTTAGTGACAATAACGACTGGCGACGGAGAATTT